TTTAGGTAACTAAGAAAGTGGCACATAAAAAGTTTCGCAGATCCGAGTATTTCCGGAGATAAATGAAAGAAACCGAATTGTCCCAAAATCATTTTTATTTCTTCCCGGCTTTACCTAAGATCGGATTTAAAAATTTAGAGTACATTAACATTGCCACCTTTTTTGCTCTATAAGATGGCATGTTTATAATTTCAATATGACGTTTCATCTTTTGTGCTCAATCAACAACTTTATTTTTTCTCGTCCTCTTCATATTGGAGTATTGCACAGTTGAACAGTTCTCAATTCAGATTCCAAGAATATACAGGGTGGCGCATCGAAAACGAAACAGACGCATTTACTGGCAGCTCATTTTTTTTTTGTTAAAACGCTCAGACCCGTCAATTTTGTTTTCGAGGAGGACACAAGTTTGGCAAAAAATCACGTTAACATGTGCGGCCCCCTGAGAGGGGGTGACACCAACCCTAAAATCTTAAATGGAAAGGGGGTCGAGTGATACCTTATTTTAAAGGTCTTTCAATTCAATCAAGACATAAAATTAATGTACTTCAGTTCAGTAGTTTTGAAGATTTATTGATTTAAATCTTGAAGTAGACTTTGGTAGGTACATCAGATTAGTTTGTACTACTTTCAGAAGAAATTTGACTAGAAGAATTGACTTAATAAGTAAATGTTTTTCTTCACTACGCCCATGGTTATAGCTATTGGAGCGTTTTTTGTGGCAAAAAAGTTATTTCTTGCAGAAAGATAAGGAAATATCTCGTACTTATCTTAAATAGGAATTTAGTACATAGTTTGCGATTGATTTGACTAAACTTTGTTGCTAAAATAACTAGTAACGCTTTATTACATAAATTAACCATGGTATATTCCACAGCAGAAAGAGTTGAAATTATCGAAATATTTTTCGGAAATCATCATCAGAAATATTTAATGAGCGACATGAGAACAGTAACGTGCATCGAAAATATGTTCTAGGACTTGTAGCTAAATTTCGGGAAACTGGGTCAGTGGCCAATAAAAACGCAAAATTGAAAATCCCATAAGGAACGAAGCAATAGAAGTGGGGATTTTAGGGCAAGTTTATGTAGATCCTACGTTAAGTACCCGCAAATTGCAGACTGTGTGTAGTGTTAGTCGACGTACTGTCTAACGGATTCTAATGGCCCACAGTTTTCATCCGTATAAAATTCACCTGGTACAAGAACTTAATGAAGACGATTTTGATCGGCGATTAAAATTTTGTGAAGATATACGTGAACGAATTATAAACGATGAACATTTTCTATTCAACGCTTGCTTTTCCGACGAATGTTCCTCTTTCTTAAATGGCGTAGTAAATCGTCATAACTGCCGATATTGGTCCGATTCTAATCCCAGAATTTATCATGTGGTTCATACCTAGCAGCCACAGAAATTGAATGTTTGGGCTGGTATTTTTGGCGATCATTTAGATGGTCCTTTTTTCTTACCTGGAAATTTTGACCGGTGATATGTATTTGGAATTACTGAAAAACGCCATAGATCCTGCATTAACAGCCACAATTGAAAATCAGGATGATCGGCGGTACATTGCGAATAGGTTGATGTTCCAACAGGATGGTGCCCCACCACGTTACGCATTACGTGTTCGACAATATTTAGATCAGACGTTTCCAGATCGATGGATTGGTAGAAAAGGAGCCATTGAATGGGCCCCAAGATCGCCAGATTTATCACCTTTGAATTTCTTTATGTGGGGTCATTTAAAAAGCAAAATCTATGCTACTCAGCCAACATCATTAGAAGACCTGCGACAAAAAGTTGTGAATGAGTGGCTTCAAATTACACCTCAAATGTTGCAAAATGTGCGGCAACGTTTTGACCAAAATCTTTATTATTGCATGGAGAGTCATGGTGGCCATTTTTAACATTTACTTGCCTAACGGGTTAGTTCATTCTTAATTTTTTAATTACTTTGCGGCCAAATGTATTGATCTCCACTAATGATGATGTATTAGTTTTATTTAAGCTTTAAATCAATAAATCTTCAAAGCTAGACCTTTAAAAATGAGGTATCACTCGACCCCCCCTTCCATTTAAGATTTTGGGGGTAATGTCACCCCCACTTAGGGGACTGCACGTGCTAAACTTGTGTCCCCCTCGAAAACAAAATCAACGGGTCTGAGCGTTTTTAAAAAAAACTGAGCTGCCAGTAAATGCGTCTGTTTCGTTTTCGATGCGCCACCCTGTATAAAACATATGTTATACATTGCCATTGTCAAACCTGAGTTATTTCGCGAAAAAACTAATATTAAATAAGTTGGCTTCGAAAATGACAGTTTATTACATGTTGATTCGATTAAGTAACCAATGGCTTCAATCTCTGAGAAAGGACATTCGACCATAACAAGTGTTCTTTGAATGCAAGATGTGCGTATGGGTTTAGATATGAGATATGTGTTTGAGCAGCTGCAACAATGTCGAGAATTTTTATATAAGTTATATAAAATAATACTGTTTTTAATGTAAATAGGTAAAAAAAAATCAAGCATAGGTTGTGCTTCATTCGAGACGTTAGGACCAGTTATAGGAAAATTACCTTTTTAGATATTTGGCATATATAAAAACAAATAAATTTGACGATTAAGGACAAGTGATGAAATTCAACTTTGGAATTTTAATTATGCCACCTTGTAGGGGTGAAAAACCAACAACGTGAGTGTTCTTCTTATTCCGAAATTCCATCTCAAATCAAGTCATGTAAAAATATAAATGATTTTGAGAAAATTCGGTTCGGAAATGCTGGGAATTACGAAATTTGCCAAGTGCCATTTTCTGAGTTACCTGAATGCGCAGGTTTGCCCACATTGATCAACTTCATATATCTTACCGTTTCCAAGATCCCAATGGTCAGAGGCGAGCTTGAAAAACCCGGCATATTTGTGTAACTTCTTATTAACTTGAAAAATTTTGTTTGAGTTCTGTGGATCGAGGCATTATTATGGGGTCTATGTCCACTACTACTGTACACTTCAAAGCACATGCATATTTTTGAAATACCTAAACGTCCCAAGTGAACTTCAAAGATACGTTTAAATACCTCAAGGTGCATCATCAACCTGTAGAGGATAAATCACTAAAACGCAGACGATGAAGCTGCTTTCAACTGTTCTTATGACAATTATCAATGCAATGCTAAGAACCCAGTACTTACCAGTGGTGTGGACGATCACGATGTTATGATTTCAGAAAGCGGATTAAATATTTCATCAGGGTTACCGTGTCATTAACCTGCTGTCAGCTCCATCTAAGCTCGCCGAAAGGGTGATTCACCGTCACCTTGCAATGTCTTGTGAGATCACCATGTGATTCCTGACGTGCAATTTGACTTTCAGCATAGCACGGAGTGACAGGCGGTTATGCTTGTGGAGCGTGTATGGATATCTCAAGGTGTGGCACAATTGCCTTCTCTATACAGGGTGTTCCTTAATGATATGCGAATATTTAAGGGGGAGAATCTGCATGAAAAATTACTTTTAGTTTGCTTTATAAACTATGGTCCAAAAATGTTTGCTCACAAAAACTCGGGGTGTTGAAGTTTAAGGAAAAAAATGGAAATTAATTAATATTTTCAGAACCGCTTCAGATATTTCACTGATATTTAGTACGTAGTGAAAGTTAATAAAGTTTTAGCTTTAACAGTGACTTCGATATTTTTTTATAAAAAATGGCACGCCAATGGTTCTTTGCCGAATAAAAATTATTTTTGAATTCCCCGTTCAATTTATAACAAATGATCTCTCTTGAATTGTTTTCCTTCGATGCGCCATTTTTGAGTAAAAAGATAATAACTATTATTTAGTAATAAATATCTAGTTGCTCTGGTATATGTCACTGGCTTTCGACATCTGAGAAGTCTCTGTTATTCAAATATGTTCGCTGTGACATCTTTTCCATTCTTTAGTTTTTACAATCTTGTTAATAATAGTTCATTATTCAAATGCAGAAATGGCGGAAAAGCATTACGTATATGGCCATGCCAACGGTACTGGTGAGGAAGCCAGACGGATTTATCACCAGAGATATTCCTATCGTGCTTTGCCAGATAGGCGAACCCTTTCTAATATCATCGACGTCTTGTTGGAAGTGGTTCTGTCCCAAAAGGAACATCCGAAGGTAGTCCTCTAAGTGTGAGAACACCTGAAATTGAGGATGCAGTGCTGCACAATATCGAAGAACATCCTGAAACGAGTACGAGTACGCTAGACACTTAAATATTTGCCATCAAATTGTTACGAGAATTTTAGTGGATTTTTTTGTTATATCCTTACCATGTTCCAAGAGTACAGGCATTACTTCCCATTGAGTTTCCAAGGCGTGTGATCTTTTGTTAGTGGTATCTTCAAAAAATTACACAAAATCCGCAATTTGAATCAATAATTCTGTTCACGGATGAAGCTAAATTTTCTCGAAATGTCATCCAGAATTTCCACAATAACTATTTGTGGTGAAAAGAAAATCCCTAAGCCGTAACCGAAACCCATTTCCAACACCAATTTTCGGTTAACGTATGGGCAGGAATTATTGGCAACCACTTTATTGGCCCAGTCTTCGTGCAGGGACGACTCGACGGACCGACTTACCTCGATTTTCTTCAACAACAGTTTACTTTGCTGCTTGATGATGTTCCGTTAGTAATAAGAAATAGTATGTGGTACATGTATGATGGTGCACCAACGCATTTCAGTGTAGCGGTTCGTATTTGTTTACAAACTGTTTATCCAAATCGTTGGATTGACCGCGGTGGGCCCCAAGAATGGCCACCAAGGTCCAGGCCTCAACATTTTAGAGTAACTTGTTTTTTCGGCAGTTTTTGAAATAGTTTATTGACAGTGATCCTCAAGCAAGTCTCGCCCCTAGTACTATAAATGTCGTAACTCTACCACTAATATTGTCAAAACGTCAGTGCCGGGACAATTTTTGTGGTGTGCTAGAGTAGAAAATAAAAAAGCAAACCATCAAAAAACTAGTAAAGACGTTTATTTTAAGATTAATTCAAAGAATAAAAAGAATCTTAATCCAAAGTGGGATAGGAAGCTCTTGTGGCAACACCACAAGTGTTTCCGTCATTTCTCTTCAGCCTGAAGTATCCTTCTTCTCCCCAAGAACTTCCCCAGCTGTTCTTTATGACCCAGTATTCTTCACTATATGCAACCACAAGAACACCATGGTGCAAATCGCCAAGTTCGTTTTTGCAACCGGATTTCTTGGTTATTACTCCTGTAGAGTAGAATTGCATGTGACTGGCGTCCACTCCCACAGAGACTGGTCCTATTAACGCTGTAAAAAAAATTATCATTCAGTGTCAATATACAGTGTTTTTCAAAAGTAACCGAAAATACTCGATACTCAAGAAGTCAATTCTGTATGCCTTAAGCGTCTTAAATTTTTAGATACAGGGTGGTAAAGTCTTGGATCTGAGTTACGTATGTCACGATACTTCAGTCTCTCAACAATGATTATGTTTATATTTCTCTTTAACTTATGGTTTGTGTGTAAAGAAATAAGAAACGTTTCTCTGGATGGGCCAATATAATATTAGTCCAACCATTTGATGTTCGAAGAAGGGATTGCCTGGGGACTTTTGAGGAAGTTTTGGTACGTTATAGTGTCCTCATAGTTTTCGATGTACTATCCGAATTTTTACGTTACATCCGCGTATATGACAAGTTTACAAACTAAATAAGAGAGATAAACTTAAAACACATACTTAGAGTGCTTCGTCCGATAGGTAGTTGCGGGCTGTGGCATCCCTAACACGGCAAAGTTTACTCTATCACAGAGGCGTATCTACCGCCGTATCAATGTTACATGCGTGAACTGTTTTTCAAAACTTCACGCAAGTTTTCAGGCCGTACGCTAAATCAAAAATTTTCAAACGCTAAACATTATGGACCATGCCATGCATTTTTACGTTAATACATTGCTCTCTCACCATTCTTTTTAGAACAATTTTCGCTTTTTACGGATAAGATATCTTATGTTTAAAGTAGTAGTACATTCATATTGTGTTCCAGTTTTCCATCAGATAATACTGTATAAATGGTGATTCACAAGTCGTGACCAAAAAATGAAAGATCATACACAGGACCGCATTTCAATGGGGTCTTCTACGTAACATTTTTTCCTCAAGGGCTTCATTAAAAAGATACGGGGTGTTGAAGATTAAAAATATAAAACATTTTCTTTATCTTATAATATCTTTAATATCTGGAATGAACGAAAATTTGGTAAGTGGATTTACCTAAGTATTGTCCACATTCAAAAGTCTTTACTCAAAACTAACGTACACCAGTGGCGGAGATACAGGGGATTAGTGGCATTATTTTTCCAAGTAAAAGTAGTACGCCACTTTTTTTTCGAAACGCACAATTTTTCTAATTTGACCTTCAAGTTGCTAGAAGTAATTACTTCCGCGTTTTTTTATTAGAGTGTACTGTTTTCGTGAAAATGAAAATAAAACAAATTAGATCATTCATGAAAAGGTGAAATACAATTAGCTTCAAAATAAAATAGGAGGCATTGATACCAACTTGACGTTTCTTGGCAGATAGTTCGTCAAGGATATGTTTTATACGGTTGTTATCATTACTACTGCATTTTTTTCTAAAAGTCAAGTAAAAACTTCGTTTTTTATTTCTTTTCTGTGTGTTTTGAAATGGAATCTGGGGGTTCTGCAGCGGCTTCTCGGGAGTGTCAACGTAGATTTCCTAAAAAACGCCAACCTACCCCAAAGGTTTTTACGCGTTCATTTCTAAGACTTCGGCAATATGAAATTGCCAAAGTTCCTGGAGTTAGAGGCCATGGTGTCTGGCAGACCGTTCAATAGGAACTGTAAGTGATTAATTTGGCGTTTGATGATCCTAGTACAAGTACTAGGCGGATTGCAGCCCAGTTACCATGTTCCCAAAGTCTTGCGTGGAGAATTTTAAATCGCGTAGTTTTACATCCATACCATCGGCAAAATTTTTGTGAGTAGTTACTGCAAATGCATAATCAAAATGCAGATTTTATTGATTTGATTTTGTGGTCAGATGAATCGCTTCTTACGAGTAGTGGAACCATCAATTCTCATGATGAACAAATTTGGCCGTTAGAAAATCCCCGTTCTGTAAGAATTCAGTCGTTTCAACACATATTTTGTAGAAATATCTGGTGCGGCATTATCAATGGCCAACTGTGTATGCACGTATTGCCAAAACGTTTAAATGGAAACTCATACTTAACTTTTCTAGAGAATTACATAGAAAATGAGCTAGATGATGTTCCATTAGCAACGAGACTACGAATGTGATATCAGCTCGACGGTACCCCACCGCATGTTCGTCATAACCGCATGGTTAAATAATAATCATTTTAGAAAACGATGGATTGGCAGAAACGGAACCGTACATTTACCTGCGAGGTCTCTCGATTCAAGCCCACTGGATTTCTTTTTGTGGGGCGCTTTTAAACAACTAGTGTATACTAAACAAATAATACTGTTGATCAGTTACAAGAAAGAATAGAAAATACGTTTCATCAAATTCAGGCCACAACAAATTTTGCGGAAATATGTTTTTCTGTATTAAAAAGGTGCCGCAGTTGTACCCGTCAGAATGGTGTTCAGATGTCCAAAAACTGAACTCAGAGAGGGTGATCTTTTTAAAATAAACAAGCTGGTATCTACATCTGGTACGACCGAAAAGGCCTCCATTTTGTATATATTTCTACCGAATTGCTCCCATCATACAAACCCAACCTTTTATAACTGCCAAAAGTAAAATTTTTGGAGCGGCAGATCCTAGCTGAAGACAGTACGGGATAGGCTACGCTGTTTTTGAGCATACCAGATATGCCCATTAAAATTGTAGAAACATATATTGCCCGCATATGTTTATGGAGCGTTTACTTACCAATAGCTTTTGCTAGAGCCTGTTCATCCCCTTCTGGAATATCCTTATAACCGCTGATCTTGACTCCCCCTTGCTTCTTGCATTTTCCCTCTTTGCCAGTATAGGATGTGTACGGGTACTCTTTATCTGTGAGCACTCCACGATTTATTACGTAGTTGAAAGCGTTGGTCCTCAACCCTCCATCACATCCCTCGTTGTCGTACGCAGCTCCTGCACAGTCTATAAGATTTTGAACACTTAAAGATTCTAGTATGCCATTCTTCAGGAAAATTACACCTTCGATAGCTCCTACCTGCAAATATCAAAGTGTCGTTTGATTAACTTATACAATGTTTATCCTAAGTTTGTCACAAATAGTGCCGTCTGATCTCGTCATGACTCGTCGTCAGTAAAATGTCTGATGAATACTTGTACACGATCAAACCTGTCCGTGGGAGACGTAGTAGTTTGGTGCAGGTTGATGACTAGTAACGACTCCCAGATACGCATTCAGTTTTAATGGGTGACCGGTCCTTGTCAGGAAGCAATTCGTCCAGCAGAGGTATTACGAAACTTTAAAACTGTCATTATGTCGATTTTTTTGAGATTATGTCGTTTTTTGTTGGATAGCTTTTTTGTGACATTCTGTATATTTTCCAACATGACGTCAACTTGGAGCTAGCTATCGTTCACTTTATGCTCACTTGTAGCAAGCACGGAATGAACTATCTGTACACTGGCATATTTAGTCATCAAGTTGATATTTTTTAGGTTTTTTTGACATTATGGATTTGTTCGTACAGAGGTCGGTGGCTTCTCAGTGACTGTGACTCGGATCAGGCCGTCTATATAGCGTAGCAGAAGTATTGTAATTTGTGACTGTCATAAAAACAGGATTTCTATAGGTTTTTTACGTAATAATCCTTTCGGCTTGTTGTACTAATACTAGGACATTATTCAATATGAGCATGGTCCATATCTTTGAAATCGGGATAAACGTCAAATAACCACCGCCGTTGTCGGGACAACATTAAAAACCTGTTAAACTCACAACAGACCGAGAGTCTGTGGCAATTTTAATAAAATTAGTGTAAGGCCCCATATGTTCTTCCTGACATTGCTTATATAATACACCTATGGCAGAAAGATTAGCCTACTACACTACTCAAACAAATTAAGGGAGCAATAAAAAAATCCAAATTTTTCGGAGATTTTTGAGTTGCTGTATTCCGCTGAAAAATGGTCATATCTAGACTTGAAAAAAGTATTTTGAAGCTTTAATATTCTAGATTTCAGTCATTCTGGTCGAAAAAAATTTATTGCGAAAGTTTTGCCTTCTTTTTAGTCAAAGGGAATAAAACATTTTTTCTGTTAGGCTATCATATGTATCGGATAGCCCGTTTATTCAGCTTTTTAAAATCTTGATACGATCATTTTAACATCGACCACTGCTATCTCGATAACCAGTGATCGTACAGACCATGTAAGGATATGTGTGAAGACTGGAATACATCTTAAAACTTGTTCAAATTGGAGATCTTACTGATATCTAATAGAGATAGCAAAAAAAGAAAAACGATTTTCCCATTTCCAACCAGATGTTTTGATACAAAAATTTTGGTCCGTTGATTCCTATCAAATTTTGACCAACCGGTATTGGGGTATATTGAGGTATAAAAAGAACTTACAGCCATTAGCCTTCTCATTGGCAGTTCCAAAAATGCGGTAGATTTTCCAACAAAAGACAAAAAGTAACATCTTTGACTATATTAACATCAATTAAACAAACAAAAAATCCTCAAAGATTGCAATCAAATTTTATTGGATACTTATTCCAGTTTTTGGAAATACCCTCACATTCTCTATGCGATCACTGATTACCGAGATGTCCGTGGTCGATGACAAACGGATCCTTTTTGATTCAAAATCGGATATCTCCGCGCCAAATCATCGTATCGAGATTTTAAAAACACAATATTGAAGCTGAACAAACCGGTTCCGAACCATATGATGTCTTAACAGGAAACTAGAATATTTGAGATTCGGCATCCTTTTCTCAAAGTTCCGATACCACGATTTTTAAACTGAAATACACCCTGCCAAAGATCACCCAAAAATTTGGATTCCTTTGCTCCCTTATTTATTTGACTATTGTACTACTAGGACAGTGCAGGAACAATTAAAGAGTTTAAAGTTCTTCCTCATTTGTCAGGTTGTAAAGGTTGCGATATAATGACATTTTGGAAAATGATATCATCAAGGGATTTAGCCTAGCAAAGATGAATAGCGAAACAGCGAATGGGATTTGGACGCCGACTAAAAAATGCTATAGAATCGCATGCTTTACGCTACGTACACTTCAGCACTTATGTTCAGTTTGTAAAAATTTCATCATACCCAACCAGCAACCTCTCATACGAGGTTTTATCTGAAAAGGAAGTATTTTTAATATTTAATCGTTGATACACCGTCCTTGTAGTGGTAGTCTAGTACTTTCAGCTATAAATATATTATATAAACTGTTTTAAACAGAAAACATAGCAGTTTATAAGATGAATTTTATCGATATTTCCACAAGCTCTTAGTCTGTTTACAAGTCTATTCGTCATTGTCTGTCACAGCGGTCCGAGTATATGATTCCCGAAATACGGACCCATATCCTGTTAACACCAGCAGCTGCAGGGAATAAGCAGGGTTACCTGTTTAGAATTAAGATGTTTCTTCAACGATTTAGCTTCCACAGTATTTATTTTAGGTTCAGGTAAATGCAATACTTTTGGTAACATCTCTGTGGATCTGATGCTCTAACTAGTCTGCCAAGGTATACTTGAAGACACCACTTCTTAATAGTGGTCTCAAGCCTGTTCCACATTGAAAGCGCACTCGGTCAGTGATCTGGCTAATATGCTAACGGACTTTTGTTCCTTTGAATTCAAATTCGCGATCCCTCAGTGTTCTAGTCGTTTCTGCCGGCTAATCAGTTAACATGATAGTACGTAACTTTTGAACTGATTTTGAAAAGTAATTAAACTTACCGCACTAAAGGCCCAACAAGCACCACAAAGCGATTGATCCTTCACTGTGGTGACAGCGCCCTTTGCTCTCCAATCTACTTCTTTCGGTAGTTCTTCATTGTCTTCGAATAATGCGAAGTTATCGCCGCGATCCGGAATTTGGTTTTCCTGCAAGCTCATCATTTGACGAAATTCTTCCTGAGAAATGTCGCCAAATTGGTTCATTCTCATCTCGAAGGTTTCCTCGCCATTGTTGAACCTCTGGTTATGTTCATCTATCATTCGGATGTTGGACTTGAAGATATCGAAACGTCTCTTTTCCTCAAGGAGACTTCTGTAGGTTTTACCATGTTGCGTCTAAGGTAAAAAGATGATTCATCAATGCTATGTTGTGATGAGTGACCACCCTATTTTAAAGGTTGATCCATACGCTCCACCCCTCCAATAAAGCTGCATTTAATTTATGTCTTTAATTTTCTACTCAATCCCTTCTAACATAAAAGCTCTTGTTTGGAAAACAATCCTCTACCGCAAATATCAGCTGCTAGTTACTCGAACATTTCTTTTCTAGTGAATGTGACTTTAATTTTGAACAAATGAATTTGCTGAGGTGCCAGTACGCCACCCATTAATTTGTCCAACGTTTGAAATAGAGTCAATTTTCTTTTGATGTAAATGCACGCGTACAAAAGAGCATTGTGCTCGTTGCAGTCAGATGGTCGTTTGGTACATCCGAATGTTCTTAAGGTCATTTGAAATAACTTTGTCATAAGCGATACCGCTCTTCAGCCCACAACTCAGTGCATGAGGGAGGGGAATGTGGGAATAACGTTATTTTCAATGTCTATATGAACGAGAGAGGTACACGACCCGAGCAGTCGTTTATATTTTGATGCTGAATAAATGCCATCTGACCATAGTACTAATATATTTTAAATATTGGCTACACCACCTCCTACAGGCTAGAGAAAAGAAAAAGCAGTCTGATGCATAAATAGTTGCTACGGTCAGGGATTGAACTTGCCATCTTCAGTCTTCAAGGCATAATGTTCTACTACTGCCCCAAAATAAGCGGCTTGCAAGGCCGATAATCATTTGTATATTTCGGGATGTATTACCGAAGTCATCGTTTTTGGCTGCCTCTCTGCGGATTCTTTTTGTTGTTACCTATGCCACACATAACATAAGTAGGCACAATATATTCAAAAACTATTAGTAAGTATATTTGCAAGTTAGCACCCGAAACAATAAAAAGAGTCTTACGGTTTTTACAAAGATATTGTCATTTTCTGTACTTGCCCATGAAATAAATATTTTGAAAAACTGGTTCAGCTCCACATGCGGTTATTTTTCAGGTCAAGATACGATTAAACGATGTTAAGAAAATTTGTTTGAAAATAATGACCGAAAAAGGTCAAACATTTTAAGGTCCAATCGCAGAAAGCGTACATTGACGATGGTTGGAAACGCAGACGATTTGGATATTCTAAAACTCAAGAAAGTATGATGATAATTTAAAAAAAGTAATGGTTTTTACTAACCTTGAATTGTTGCCATTCTTCCTGATCAGAGAGGCAATAGATCGTAGGAATTATTACGGTAAATATAACTATAAGAAGCTTCATATTTTTTCTAGTCCCTCTCTGAAGTAAATTCAAAATCTTTCTGAATCGAATTTTTATACTGCATGTATAGTATAGATTCCTGGAGATAAGTCACCGATATAAGTGGTTGATAAAATGATTGAAGACTTGAAGACCATGGAAACGTAGTAATGATAAAATTAGTCTTGTTACAATATTAGTTACTATACAGATAATCATTCCATGATCTTTAAAATGTGGGATGTTATTAGTGTCATTCTGAATAGTGACCTCCAAATTCTATAGAGTTCATATAGCACATACTGATAATCGGGGTATCTCGTAAGAATTTAATATCTATAAACTGTGCTGTGCTTATGGAATCAAGTCACAAAAAATGGCGTCAAGTAAGCTGACTGTACTTCCCACGCAACGCTGTCATCAGTTCGTAAAAGATAATATTCGGCACAAGTTACAACGGGCGACCCTTCACGTGCTCATCCAATGGTTGCGTTTGGAAGGAAACACGGAATTCGTTTCGCCTTTTCATGAAAACAAAGACAATAAACCGAATGTTCAATGCATGTGAGGCGTGAAGCTGTAACTAAAGCGGTACCAAATCATTCAACATTTCACCAATTAAAATAATTCAAAGATGTACTACTGACTTCCTGAGACCCTGGAACTTAAGTTCCGGTTCCGCTCTGGCAGTCGGAAAAGAAGGTGAGTGAGGATGGCCACAAGTTTTAAGGGTAAATGTACAGGACCATCTATGAAGCTTAGATCTAACTGATATTTTAGAGAGTTTTGTCAATATTTGCGATTAAGCCGATGATTTTCCAGAAAACCATCATTAATTACCCCTCATTCGTGTCTCTTCTCCAGGATAAAAAAAATTGTTTACCATAAGTGGTCATTGATCTCCTGTATACCAGCTTTCAAAACGACCCTTAGATTTTCTGTACGATGATTGATTCCAGAGATGTGTATGACCAAAGCCAAAGGGGTTTTTCATTAAGAATTGAATATCTAAGCAAGAAATGGTCGTACCGGAGTTTTAAAGTAAATTCAGGTTAAATAAACAGATTTTTGAGTCTATGCATTGGCGTAGCGATAAACATTTTTGGAAGTATGTGGACTTAAACGTATAAGAAATTTTTTATGTTTTTTTTCACACTGTTTTAAGATTAAGATAACCGGAAGCGTGGATGTAATTAAATGTCTCCCTGAAAATTCGAGGTCCTCTAGCCATTTTATACTACAATGTGTAGGTTGGCTCTTGTGGACTTCGTGTGTCGTTTTTTACCTCTCCATCTTCGTTTCCTCAGGCTGCACCCGTATCCGGATGTGTGGGCATGTGTATCTACTTTTGTAGTTTCGTATGTGCGTTCATTTAAGACCTGATGAAGCCAACCAGCGCAAATATGTATCGCTTGGGTTACCTATCCTATTTTCTGCTCGAATCCACTTTCCTCCTTTTTGCGGATTTTGCCCATCATTTTCCTACTTTTTGTTATATACATTTCTCCCCATGATCATTTTCTCTTTGTATATGTATACATATTTGTAATCAAAGTTCTTACTTACTTGAAGATTGAAGTTCAGAAAGATGTAATGTAGGAAAAGCTGATCTTTTCAGACCTCGCTTCGTTTCAGGCACTTTATCATTTTCCGAAAAATGTAAGCTTTTTTATTGTCCAAAACTGGATTTCCTGGATCCACTTGTTAAAAAGAACGGCATCATATTTTGGAAACGTATTCCTTTTACTCATTGTATACGTTGTACAGCCTCCAGTTTACCGATTGCATTCTGATATAGATATATATATACCAAGGACGTATACTCTTAGCCCCAGATGTTCCTTTTCGGACAGAACCAGTTTCAACAAGACCATGATGAATATTAGAAAAGGTTCGACTATCTGGCAAAGCACGATCGGGATATCTCTGGTGATAAATCCGTCTGGCTTCCTCACCATTACCGTCGGCAAGGCCATATACGTAATGCTTTTCCGCCATTTCTGCATTTGAATAATTCACCATTATTAACAATATTATAAAAACTAAATGATGAAAAAGATGTCACAGCGAAAAGAGACTTCTCAGATGTCAAAAGCCAGTGACATATTCCAAAGCAACTAGATATTTATTGCTAAATAAACGGTTTTTAGTTTTTTTACTTATAAATGGCGCATCGAAGGAAGACAATTCAAGAAAGACTATTTGTTTTAAATTGAACGGGGAATTCAAAAATAATTTTTACGTGGCAAAAAACCTATTGGCGTACCATTTTTTTCCTGAAAAATGTCGAAATACCCGTACGCACGCCACTGTTAAAGGTAAAAATTATTTTTGCATTGAAAAATATGCAACTTTATTAACTTTCACTACGTACTAAATATCAGTGAAATATCTGAAGCGGTTCTGAAAATCTTAATTAATCTCCATTTTTTCCTAAAACTTCAAGACGTTTTTGTAAGGAAACATTTGTGGACCATAGTTTATAGAGCAAACTAACATTAATTTTTCATTTAGATTCACACGCTTAAATATTTGCATATCATTAAGGAACACCCTGTATTCTAACCCAAAAGGCTTTCCATCTTGGAAGCTTTTAATATCTTAAAAGGTGAAAAATGGTTCGAAATTAATAACGACTTGTCGAAGATAGCATCAAGTAGAGTCGGTGTCCCTCAGGGCTCAGTCCTCGAACCAATTTCCTGTTCACCTTTCACGCGTCAGGTTTCTTGTCCCAGTGACTGTGAAATCTATCCATATACCGCTGTATAATTTTTTAGCACTGTATAATGCTATACCTAAAGATTTGAGGAATAATATCATTTACAGTATTTTTAAAACAATGGTTTTCAATTATTTAAAAAATAAATATTCTTATTCTATTGACGAATTTTTAAATTGTGGATGTTAATACCGTTAAAGTGGATATTTTTGAATATTGTTTTTTATATAATTTCTAGTTTTGTCAATTATTTTAAGGCGTTATGATATACAGCTTCAAATTTAAGTTCATTATTGCATATTTTATTAATGTATCTTCGGATGACACATTCCTGTTTTTTCTTTTGTTGTTCATTCTTTTCAGTGACTTGCCATTTAAAGCAAGTGTTTCTATTTTGGCTGCATAAAATACTTCAACTACTACTGTATGCTCATGACACTGTAGTGGGGCTCAGTTGAGTACCAGGGATCTGGTTCACGACAGATTACAATAAAATCAGCACTGGTCAAAATTATACACTCAAAAATGCAGGAATATTATAAAACGTGGTAGGGTTCCATCCGGGGTTTCAGTAACCAGAACTCTTGTTGCGTTTGCAAGACAAATCTTATTTTTTATCGTTTATTAATTTTGCTTGTAGCTATTTTTGTTTTGGCTTGTTGTCTATTTTGCTCGTTTTCTTTTTTCTGCATGTGCCCGGTAGTACGAGCTTACGTTGGTAGCGTCGGATAGCTTGAACGAAAACTACACAACAGTGGTGATTCATGTCAAGGACGTCAACGATTTGCCGCCTAAGTTCAACTGCTCCGTCTACAGGAGAGACATCGAGGAGGAGTACCCCTCACGGTATCCTATGATGCTTATGCAGGTAAGTCGCTACGTTTTTTTACAAAGTGAATACCAGTTTTAGTGAGTTCTGCATCCTATACTGCAGATGCTAAAGACCATCAGAAAGAGAGTGTTTGGACAGCAAACCTGTAGCTGTTTCAGATAATGTAACAAAACGTATACATAACATGCAGATGATTCCATTTAGTTTTTTAACTAATAAATGTCTCGAGGCTACAGCTGAAACCACATACAAAAATTACCCCCAAAGGTATCTAGACCTCGATCAATCCTGTTTATTGTATGTTGAGTCCAATCACCAAATTTTCACATCGATTGGTAACCCCTAGGAGTCCCAACATATTTTATCAAAAATAATCTCTTACGAGCACAGTTTGCTCAATAAATGTTAAAAACATTACCGATGCTACAGTTGTATCCTACATAACCGAACCTTTTTTTAGATCCGTGAAACGTATAGTTTCCAGAAAGTTTTGAAATCTCTTTTAGAATTTTTGGTGGGGTAATAACAATTTCGCAAACTAGAACATTTACTGCATATCAGTGCGTTCTTCTCATATTCACTAACTAAATCATGAATTGTGCCCGGAAAATAGCCAATAATCAGAAAAACGGCATTTTTACCTGCTTTCTTCAGTTTTGATTATTTTAATTTTTAAAGTCAGCTAACTAAAAACTCGACAAACACATGAATCTTTGTCCACGCTTTCAAGTTCCATTGTCAAATTTCTCTCGAGGTCTCCCAGAGAATTGCGAAATTCGGAAAAACCGCATTCTCGCTGGACTTCAGCTTTTGACCTTACAGGTCAGGGGAGACATTCCCACTGTATATATGTGTTTCTGTGTCCGTTTCAGTTCCGTTGACAAAATAATGGTTTCTTGTCCGCAATATCGCAGATATTGATAAAAACGCATTTTCCTGGAATGTTTCAATTTTATACATCTTTTAGCACTAACTCCAAAACTCAATCTACCCATATGTATACAGGGTGTCCGCAAAGTTGTGGTTTTCCTTTTCAGAAACAACTACCCTTGAAATAATAAAGGTAATGTGTAGTGAAACGACGGCGACCAAGTAAAAAAAAATAAAGAAAAAAGTACTCACTCTCCAGTTGACGAGAAGGGCTAAAGTACGTCTCTGCCCGAAATCATACCGCTCCAACAGAAAATGAAATCAGCTGATGTGCTACCGAGCAGACGCTGGCGGTGGTGCAGACCAGTAGACCACGAACAGAGGTAACAAATATGACCATCGTGCAGAAACCACATTGATTGTGTTACACTTAATGGCACAAGGAAGGCAAAATGTTGCGTAAAAAGTCTAGGTATTGCATCCCGTCCAATTGATTTGGGAGAATAAATGGTCCAATGAGCATACCGTTCACCATGCCAGCCCAAAGATTTACCGAAAATGTTTGTTGAAAATGTGCCCGACGGACAGCGTGCGGATTTTCTACTGACCAAACATGAGTGTTGCGAAAGTTATTCACCCCATTACGCGTGAACATAGATTCGTCTGTCAACAATATGCACTTCAAAAAGTCCGGATTATTGTCATGTTGATGCAACAACCACTCACAAAACTGCACTCTTGCTGGAAAATCGTCAGGTTGAAGGGCTTGTACACGTTGGACGTGAAACGGATACAGCCCCTCTTCACGCAGCGTTTGCCACACTTTAGTTTTTGATACTTGCACTTCTCTAGCCACGTCTCTAGTACTTGTTGTTTTTTGAAACGCAATCGATTATACGGGTTCGTTTACCTCTACACGCGTGACCGTAACCGTCGTT